AAAATAAATAAATAAATAAATAAATAAATAAATAAATAAATAAATAAATAAATATAAATAAATAAATAAATAAAATAAAATGAAAAGGACATCCACAGGGCCCACTGTCCTCCTAGGGATGGCCGTGGGAAGTTAGGGAGCGCTGCTCCAGGGATGGTATCTCCCCTAGTTCTCTGTCTTTGGGAGCCTGGGTTTTCCTCTTACTGCCCAGCCACGGTCTCCTCCCTGCAGTCGCCCCATCTTCTCCTGCGGGGGCTGCCTTCCCAGAGACAGTCAGCTACCAAGGCACAGTGATGGCGACCAGGGCAGGGAACGCCCCCTCCCTCCCACGGCCACCTCTCTGTGGACACAGCGCCATGCGTCAGTGCCTCTGTGACCTGGGCGTCTGCTCCTCTTTCCCCGCGTTTGCTCCACCATCCAGTGAGGCCCGGCCCCTCTGAGCCTCCTGCTTCATTTATAACTGGTGGGGTCACTGCCTCCTCCTCCCCACGTAAGAGACTGTGTGGAGACACAGAGGTCTCTGCGTCTCTTCACGGGAGGGTCCTGACCAACCCCATGGTCCTAGGCCTGCCGCTGTCCCTTCCCTGTGCACGTGCACCTGAGCCGTGCTGGGCAGGCAGCTCGGAGGGACGGGGACCCACAGGTGGACAAGGGCACCCCTACCACCCTCACCCCATGGCAGGGTGGGAGGCAGGTGGGACAGCCCAGGGAAAGGCTGAGGCCATGCTGCGCCCCGGAGTGACCCAGCGTCCTCCCGTCACGCAGGTTGTTCAAGCTGAAGAAGCGTTACCGCAACGTGCTGGACACCATGTTCGAGCTGCTGCCCCGGATGGCCAGGTACTGCCTTAGGTCCAGGCGTCGCGAGGCTCACGCCGTAGGGCTGGGGCGCTGGGTGGCAATAGGGGTGAGGGGGAGTCTCAGAAAGAACTGGAACCGAGGCCAGTGGGTCTTCGAGACCGAAGTCGTGAGCAGCACAGGTCTCCCCGGCCTGTCCGGACTGTTCAGTGGGAGGGCGGGGAGCAGTCTGCTCACTCAGCCCCTGTCTACATTCACAGGTAAGGGCCCCCTGGGAGTCTCCCTCCACAGGTAAGGGGCGACCGCGGCGGAGGGCGTCTGTTAATAGAGGCCTGAACCGAGCCGCCCTTTACCCCAGGCCTGAACCACAAGGCCCCTTCCCTGCAGGATCTTCCCAGCTGGGAAACCTGGCTAGGGGCATGCCTCCCCTGCAGCTCAGTGGGGCTGAGGCACCGGGGCTGCCCTGCTGGAGGAGTGGGCTGAGGAGCGGGCCCCCGCCCGGCCCACACCGCCTGTCCTCCCCTCCCCAGCCTCGGCCTCACCCTGCTCATCTTCTACTACTCCTTCGCCATCGTGGGCATGGAATTCTTCTGCGGGATCCTCTACCCCAACTGCTGCAAGTGAGTAGGGCAGGCTGGGGAGGACGGCGCCCTAGCAGTGAAGTGCCGTCCCCGGTACCACCCCCCTCCAAGCCTCAGCACCATTTAAAGCCCGGGGACTCTCACGGCTTTGCTTTTGGGCCTTATTCTGTGTGGTGAGCTCAGTGAGGGGCCTGGACTCGGGTTGTCACAGGGGCTGGGCAGAGGCGGGTCTGATGGGGCAGCTGGTCAGGAAAAGACACATGCAGAGAGGGCTCGGGGTCAGGGACAGAATTGGGACAAACCTCCTGCCACCCCGCTTTTAGAGAGAGGTTTTTGCTATAGGGTGCATGCACTTGCCAGAGAGACAGAGACAGAAAGTAAGAAATCACCCCCCAAGAAGGGAGGGCCACACTGCAATCTCTTCATTCTCCTCCATTCTCCACTCAGGATTATGGGCATGCACCCAACATGAATTCGAAGCTGCCGGGTCTGGGACTCGAACTGCAGTCAACTACATGGGAGTCCAGCAACGTAACCATTATGCCATCTGCTGGTCCCAAGCCCACTTTGAGCCCCCACAGGGCCATCACCACACTCTGCCACTGATTCTCCATTCTAGGCATTCTCCTTATCCCTGGTCCTTACGGCTTGGCATGCTGAGAAATGACTTCCAGGAGCCAGGGGCTGTAGGCACGGGTTACACGTACACACCACTACAGGCTCCAGAGCTCCCTGGAGCTTCTTCAAGTTCCTGACCTTGCCCTTCACCCTCCTATTTGGTGGTAGGCTCTGGCTCTGCCTTCTGGCCAGACTCCCTGATGGCCTAAGCACTGGACTTTTAGAAACCCTGGCATGGACTTCATAGCCATAAAGGATTGGAAGGCGGGTGTCCTCAGGCAGGGCATCCCATTCAGGCTGGGAATGCACTCTGGCCCAGTACAGAGAGGCCCCAAGGAGGACTCTGCTTTTCCCTGGAGCTGCTGCATCCAGCTGGCCTCTCGAACACATCTGGACTGGGCCCAACACATCTGGACTGGGCCCGGGGGATCCCTTGCTTCCCTCTCCCTCCCCAGTAGGCAGCTGCTAGGGACAAAGGAAAAGCAGTTGGGGACAGGGCTGGGCCCTCCCAGCAGCAGGATCGTGGGCCAGAGCTAGAGAGGCCGCACGGAAGGGCCCTTGGTTGGACCCTGGTCACTTCAGCTTTTTGTCCCCCATGGAGGTGACCCGCTGTCTCCTGACCCCGTCTCTGCCTCCTTCGTCCCCCCTGCCAGCACTAGCACTGTGGCGGACGCCTACCGCTGGGTCAACCACACCGTGGGCAACAGGACGGTTGTGGAGGAGGGTTACTACTATCTCAACAACTTCGACAACATCCTCAACAGCTTCGGTGAGTGGTGCAATCGCAGGGCGTTCCTGGACACCGGCCTCTTCCCGGAGCAGAGCTGCCCGAGGCCCTCCCTCTCCTCCTGCTTCTCCCTCCCTGCGACCAGCCACACCCCTGGAGTCCCCTCTGGCCAGATGGCCTCAGCAAGGGAGTGTAGTCTAGCTCCCCAGGCCCACATAGCCACCAGATTTCGTTTTATTATTGCTATTTTCTTCCTTCCTTCCTTCCTTCCTTCCTTCCTTCCTTCCTTCCTTCCTTTCTTTTTTTTTTTTTTTTGAGAGTTTTTTTTTTGCATCAGGGCTTGTGTGCTCACCAGAAAAACAGAGACAGAGACAGAAAGCGAGAAATCACCCCCCAGGGGGGATGGCCACGCTGCAATCCCTTCTCCATTCTCCGTTCTCCTCTTGGGATCATGGGCACACACGCATCCATGCCCAGCATGAGTTTAAGCCGCCAGATCCAGGACTTGAACCACAGTCGACTACATGGGAGTCAGTCTAGCGATATAACCATTGCGCCATCTGCTGGTACCTGATTACTATTATTTTTTAAATTCTTTTTAAGAGAACTTTTTAGCTATAGAACCTGGGTGCTCGCCAGAGAGAGAAAAAAAGAGAAATCACCGCTCAGGGGGTCATGGTCACTCTGCAATTCCTTCTCCATTCTTCTCTCAGGGTTTTGGGCATTGCGCGCTCACACGCGCACCCAGCAGGAGTTTCAAGCTGCCGGGTCTGGGACGCGAACTGCGGTTGGCCATGTGGGAATCTAGTGCCTCAACTACTATGCCACCTACTACTGGCCCTTTCATTAATTAATTTTTTAGACAGATTATTGAGTTAGAGAGACAGAGACAGCACCCTCCGGAGGGTCCTGATGCTGGCATCCACACGCCCCTCCGTCTCAGCCAGCTCAAGATCACTGACGCACACGTGCCTGGAGTCCTCAGGGAAGTCTCTGGATGAGAACTCAGAACCTTCCCGTGTGGGTCTGCCTCACAGAACGGCACATTTTACCTGTGTCTAGCCCCGTGGCCATCAGATTTCACTGTATTTTTTTTAAAAGAGATTTTGTGGGCCCAGCAGATGGAGTAATGGTTGCGTCACTGGACTCGCACGTGGTCGACTATGGCTCGAATCCCAGACCTGGCAACTTAAAACTCATGCCGAGCGCTTGTGTGTGCCCAAAATCCCAAGGGGAGAATGGAAAAGGGATTGCAGTATGGCCATCCTCCCTGAGGGGTGATTTCTCATTTTCTATCTCTCTGGCAAGTACGCGCCCTATAACAACAACAAAAATTTCTCTCTGAAAAAGAGATTTTTACTACAGAGTACTCGCCAGAGACAGAGAGACACAAAGTGAGAAACAACCCCCTGGGGGATGTCCACACTACAATCCCTTCTCCTCTTGGGATTTGGGGCACATGCGCATATGAGCCAAGCATGTGTTTCAAGCCACCAGGTCCGGTACTTGAACCATAGTTGACAATGTGCCATCTGCTGGTCCCCAGATTTGACTCTTGGTGCTGATACTTTCTCAGTATTGGGAAAGAGAAGAGCTTCATTCCTTAACCAAGAGGGTCCAGCCCCTCGTCCCAGTGCCAGCCGCAGGGGGGGGCCCGCTGCCCACCCCGCTGGGTCCCCTCAGTCCTGTGCTGTCCCCGGGTCTGTGGAGCGGCCTAAGCGGGAGGCGGCCCTGCCAGACACGGCCTCTCTAGAGGGAAGGGAGCCCTACCATGTCCCGATCTGTACACACTGGACCCGGATGTTCTTTCCCAGGCCCCCAGCCAGCCTGGTCCATCACAGCTACTGGGCCAACATGGCCGGACTCCCTGTGGTGCGGACGCGGGGGGCTGGGCTGGTCCTCCTGCAGCTCATAGCCCTAGCCAGCCTCCGGTGACCCCGTCGCGTTAGCACAGGCACCCAGGATAGGTCGAGAGGGGCTGCTGACGTCGACTTTGAACGGGGGGCCTGACCGAGACACTTCTTTCGCCTTCCCTCCGACAGTGACCTTGTTTGAGCTCACAGTCGTCAACAACTGGTACATCGTCATGGTAAGCCTGCCGTCCGCCCTGGTGGCCGTTTCCCCGCCATCCTCCAAGGCCAGCCCTGGGGACCCCCTTGCCCGACAGGGAGTGCGTTGCTTTTCCGGACCCCGTGAGCTGGTGTTCTGCGGGCGGCCGTAGCCTGGCAGACCCCAGGAGACGCCTCGGCACCTGTTGCACCGGGCTGTTCTCCCTGACCGTGCGTCCCTCAGTGGCCAGGGTGACAGTTACTGAGTCTGCCCCGTCTCCCCCAAAGACAAATGGACTTTTTTTTTTTTTGAGAGATTTTTGCTATAGGGCGCGTGCGCTCGCCAGACAGACAGAGAGAGACAGAGAGACAGAAAGCGAGAAATCACCCCCCAGGGGGGATGGTCACGCCGCAATCCTTCTCCTCCATTCTCCTCTCGGGATCTTGGGCACGCACGCACATGCGCCCGGCGTGAGTTTTAAGTCACCGGGTCCAGGACGCGAACCGCAGTCGACTACGTGGGAGTCCAGCGACATAGCCATTACACTAACGGCTGGTCCCAAGACAAATGGACTTTTCGGCCAGGAAACTGTGTGGCAAGGGCTGCTGGGTATTCTCCTTTCCTTAAATTCGCCCAAGTCTGGTCCCTGCCCGGGCTGAAGACCGTCCGTGCTGGTCCCGCACCCAGGGCTGTGTCTCCGAGAGTGTCCAGGCTTCTTCAGCAGAAAGAAGTCTTTAGACCCAGGGAGCCCGGCCCCCTCTGTCACCCACACCAGAGGCCAATTGGAAGGGTCCGTAAAGGCCAGGGCCCAGGAGCCGCCCGAGTAGACAGTCCCCGGGCCCCACCTGGCACTCGCTCACTGGCTGCTCCTGTGTCCCCAGGAAGGTGTCACCTCTCAGACCTCCCACTGGAGCCGCCTCTACTTCATGACCTTCTACATCGTCACCATGGTAGGTCCCAGGTCACGGGCGCTCCCAGTCCTGCTCTTATAAAGCCCGCGGTGGCCCTGCCCACTGGGCTGCCGTGTCGGAGAGAGGGGCTGGGGCATCTCTGGGCCGGG